CAAAAAACAGAAAGCAAGAACGGAGTTTCAGAATCAAGAACAGAGATGGTCTATCAAGAGCATAAAAAATACAAGAAATAAAGGGCCTAGATCAGTGGCAAAAATACAGGGAAGTGGTGAAACGGTGCATGTGTTCAAGATATGGGCAAGGGCCAAACCATGGAATAAACGCATTCAGATTCACAAATTGAACATTCGAATAAAGCAGTAATAACAACAAGTTCCAGGAAAACAATCAAGAACTGAAATAAGAAGGAACAGTTGCTTACCAGAAAAAAATAAAGCCGGAGTAAGGATCGCCGAAGTTAGACGATGGTTACAGAAGTAACAAGACAGCGGAAGTTTCACTGGAAAGAAGAAAGAAGGCAGTTGCAGAGCTTGAGGACTGGAACAATGAAAGAAATGAGAAAAGCCAGAGAGAGAAAAAGTTTTCCAGAAACGAGAATAAAATGAAAGGGAAAATTCGAAGAGGTGTTTCGTTAAAAATGAAAACGGCGGCAAAAAGTAATCAATATGCCTGGAAGAACGTATGCGTCAGACGGCGCACGTGAGAGAGAGACAACATACAGGCGTGTCACAGGTACGAACCAGTAAGAAAGAAACGCGTGGCTAAAAAGGGTTGAATTATGGTGTATGACAGCTTATACGCGTGAAAGGGTTCTTGAAGTTCTTGTTCTTCAACAAAGACATGTCGGCCAACATAATGATTTCGGCTGAGATACTGTAAACCGACGTACTGAAAGGAAGGAATGATATAGGTTCTATCACCTCAGGATGCCGAGGTAATAGAACCTAGGGGGCAGTTGTGGGGATATATTTTTGAGAACCGACACGTGGCAAGGTGACGCCGACGTGTCAGCCGCGTTGCCACGTGTCCGGGTCATGACGCCGAGGTTATCTTTGTCAAACCGAGGTTATCTCCGAAGATATTGGATTCCGAGATAAGCGGATAAGGGACAAGAGTCCTAGAATAAAGAGGAGACTTAGCCAAGATAAGGATAAAGCTCTTAGAGAGTTTATCTTTATCTCTTGAGGAGTCCAAAATAAGTACTGAACAGGAATCCATAGAAGTCAGGCTTCTAATGGGATTTGGATTGAGTAACTGTAAAAGAGAGGCACCTCTGTGGGTCTAAGGTACGCAATTTATATTCAGTACAGTGAGATTTGCACTATTGATTATCTTTGAGAGATATGCTGACTAGATCGTCGGAGTGCCCCCGGGTGGACGAACCACCGCCGGAATCTTCTCTTTCTGTTATAGGTTAGCCAGGTGTCATCTATTCTGCCAGTGTTATCCAGCTGAATACTGAGTCAGGCAGTGTGATCGGAAAATCACTCACACAGTAAGAGATACTATTGTATTGATTTATTAAGTAATTTAGCGGCCTCAAAATCCAGCAGCATGCCCCCTACTATATCATTACTTGTTTGAGTGAATAATGATGTATGCAATGATGTTACATTTGATGGGTTCACACCTACACATCTTGTTGGCCCAACAACAACAACAGGTTTTATTAGGTGCATATAATTGATGTTGCCTTGTCACTTTATTCCCTACTTTTATAGAAAAATCAAGGTAAACAACATTGCAATTAAAATAAAATGTAAAATGTAAAATATTAGACTAAATAATGTATCCATTTATACTTCAAACATGTGAATGGCCTCATCTTTCAGGATTTCTTTTTTGAATGCAAGTATTGCCTGGTATTGTAAATACCCCTGAGATGGATCCTTACACCTTCATCTTTATTAGTAAACGTGCTTGCTTTTTCTAGGTACCTTTTCTGACATTGTCTAGGCAAATTTCATGATAATATTCAAATGACAAACTAAATTGCACAAAAAACCCTAGACCAAGGGAAATCATTTCACCTTGAATGTGGTATCCTCTCTCAAAAGGCATCTCCACAGCTTCCTTCTTCTTGTACTTCGCTTTTCTTTATTGGCTATCCTTCAACAACATTGACATAATTAGATGAAAGCATAACGCTCTTACTAAAATATCTCAAATGCAGGAACATCCTTAAAAGTTTGGCAGTTGCTTATGGACAAATGATACTGAAGAGTGGTTTCTTCCATGCAGATCCCCATCCTGGAAATATTCTGATCTGTAAAGGTTCTGAGGCAAGTAGGCAACCAAACTTTACTACCGTACTAGAAAGCACGGATACAGATACGAGATACGGATATGATACGATACGGATACGGCGATACAGCAAAACCTAAAAAAGTAGGATACGGGTACGGCTAGGATACGTTTGTAAAAAATAAAAAATAAATAAATTATTAGCAGTGAGTTACACATAAGTTGAAGAATGTTGAGAAACCACAATAACTTTATGATGCAAAATACGAATCTTTAAGAAGTAGGTATTAATTTAAGGCAGTAGCTAGTTTAGTTTTTAAATTTTCAATAGGTCTTGCTAATATTTCATTTCAATATCAAGTCTAATATGTCGATATTATAATATCAAAACAATCCACAACTTGACCCTATGTTTTTTCCTTTTGCAGTAGTAAAAAATATTCTATGCAAGTTTATTTGCTTATTTATTTATTGATATTTAATTTTACTATTGTTATATTATCTTATTAATCCTTAGGGGACATGCATGATACAATAAAGATATGTCAATGTGATGAATTCTATTACTTTAGCTTACTATGTTATTTTTATAAAAAAACTAAGCAAAGTATTGTAAAAATATTCTATTTATCCTCGCAATTATATTATATTATGATGTTATGCAAGAAATTATACAATTCTAATTTTATAAAAGAAGTAATATGTGACTTGGAGTATTTGATACTTCAAAATTAATTAAGAAGTATTCGATAATATGTGACTTGGAGCATCCGATACTTCAAAACTAAGTATCCGATACTTCAAAATTAATGAAAAATTAATTAAGAAGTATTCGATACTTTTAATAAGTATCTGATACGTATTCATAAGTATCAAGGAGAATCGGTATCCGATACGAATACGTCTTCTTATTTGAAGTATCTGTGCATCATAGACTCGAGTCATAGGTGATCTCTAAACTCTTGAGTGTGGAAAAGTTATTCAGTGGTCTTAAAGTAATGCTTCACACCATTTATGTCATGTTATCTCTCTTAAACTAACATAAAAGTATTAGATCCTACTATTTTAACCAATAACAATCAAGCTAAGCACCATATAGACTTGCTATGCAGCTACTGAACAATTTTTCCTTAGATGCTACTTAGGCCAAATTCTGTCACTTGTATTTGTGGCAGAACATCCATGCATTCATTATTTTTTGTTATGCTTGCATTCATAATCAAATGTGAAATCTCAACTTCCACACACTTTGCTGTTGCATGATGACTCAAACCATGTAGCACTCTTTCATAGCAATTTAAAATTTCTGTTCCAAAAATCAGAGTTCTACAACTACAACAATGGTATCGAGCTAGAGCTAGAAAAAGTAGTCAGAAAAGTGACCAGAAAATAAAGTGTGCATACTAGATTCATTATGAATGTAACTATATGAATCTATACCATATATTTCATTTTCTGGCCACTTTTCAAGTTACTTTTTCTTACTCTGTAAGTTTTATTTACAAATAAGTAGCCTTAATACTAGCAAAGGAGATGGTTATTTTGGTAAGTGGATATGCATTTTCACCACTAAATTAAAATGTTTCTAACTAGCAGCAAAATGACCTCTGCTTCCGCACTTCATTCTTCTAGTAATAAGAACTGCTTTGTGTCCTCGTGCTCTGCCTGTCATGCCGCTGTTGGGATGCTTTTGTTCTTCATCTGTAAACCACACAAGTCTGCAACATTCATTACAGGTTAGAAAGAAATTTTTTGTTTTCCTTACTTTTCTTTATCTTCTTACTATCAAATGTCAATTTTAGAATCTACAAGACACAGACCTGTAGTTTCTGCAAAGGTTTGACATATGTAATTTTTCCACCCCGAGCAAGATATTGAAGCTAAAGCATCATCTTTTGGGAATACTTGATTGTTGAGGTTGTACATTCTGATGCTAGTTTAGTTTTTAAATTTTCAATAGGTCTTGCTAATATTTCATTTCAATATCAAGTCTAATATGTCGATATTATAATATCAAAACAATTCACAACTTGACCCTATGTTTTTTCCTTTTGCAGTAGTAAAAAATATTCTATGCAAGTTTATTTGTTTATTTATTTATTGATATTTAATTTTACTATTGTTATATTATCTTATTAATCCTTACTTCTATGTAGTTATAGGGGACATGCATGATACAATAAAGATATGTCAATTTGATGAATTCTATTACTTTAGCTTACTATGTTATTTTTATAAAAAAACTAAGCAAAGTATTGTAAAAATATTCTATTTATCCTCGCAATTATATTATATTATGATGTTATGCAAGAAATTATACAATTCTAATTTCATAAAAGAAGTAACATGTGACTTGGAGCATTTGATACTTCAAAATTAATTAAGAAGTATCCGATAATATGTGACTTGGAGCATCCGATACTTCAAAACTAAATATCCGATACTTCAAAATTAATGAAAAATTAATTAAGAAGTATTTGATACTTTTAATAAGTATCTGATACGTATCTATAAGTATCAAGGAGAATCGGTATCCGATACGAATACGTCTTCCTATTTGAAGTATCTGTGCATCATAGGCTCGAGTCATAGGTGATCTCTAAACTCTTGAGTGTGGAGAAGTTATTCAGTGGTCTTAAAGTAATGCTTCACACCATTTATGTCATGTTATCTGTCTTAAATCAACACAAAAGTATTGAATCTTACTATTTTAACCAATAAAAATTAAGCGAAGCACTGCGTAGACTTGCTCCGAGGTCACCGAATAATTTTTCCTTAGATGCTGGTTAGGCCAAATTCTGTAACCTGTATTTGTGGCAGAACATCCATGCATTCATTATTTTCTGTTATGCTTGCATTCATTATCAATTGTGAAATCTCAACTTCTACACATTTTGCTGTTGCATGATGACTCAAATCACTCAGCACTCTTTCATAGCAATTTAAAATTTCTGTTCAGAAAATCAGAGTTTTGCAACTACAACAATGGTATCGAGCCAGAAAAAGTAATCAGAAAAGTGACCAGAAAATAAAGTGTGCGAATCAGATTCATTCTGAATGTAACTATGTGAATCCATACCATATATTCATTTTCTAGCCACTTTTCAAGTTACTTTCTCTAACTCTGTAAGTTTTTTGTACAAATAAGCAGCCTGAATACTAGCAAAGGAGATGGTTATTTTGGTAAGTGGATATGCATTTTCACCACTAAATTAAAATGTTTCTAACTAGCAGCAAAATGACCTCTGCTTCCGCACTTCATTCTTCTAGTAATAAGAACTGCTTTGTGTCCTTGTGCTCTGCCTATCATGCCGCTGTTGGGATGCTTTTGTTCTTCATCTGTAAACCATCCAAATCAGCAAAATTCATAGAAGGTCAGAAAGAAAATTTTGTTTTCCCTACTTTTCTCTATCTTCTTACTATCAAATATAGATTTCAGAATCTACAAGACACAGACCTGTAGTTTCTGCGAAGGTTTGTCATATGTAATTTTCCCACCCCGAGCAAGATATTGAAGCTAAAGCATCATCTTTTGGTAATACTTGATTGTTGAGGTTGTACATTCCGGTGTTCACTATATAATTCGACTGTGAACAAGAAAGATAAAACTTATCTTAGGTGGCTTGTTTCTATTCTTTCTCATACACAACATGAACTCCATACTCTTTTAACTTGAACAATGTCCTCACTGTCACCGAAACATTCACTTCATCGCCACGTTTTAGTTGATTTCCAATGCTCCAATGGCTTATCATATCTTGGTTTAGAGCCTCGTTCTCAGTACTGATTTCAACATATAAAATTGGCTGGCGATTCTTCTCATGGCTTAATGAGCAATTGTCTTGACCAACACCAGATTCATATACCAAACAAATATTTAGGCCTCGGATTGTTAGATCATCAAGTGAAGGCACAGTAAAAGCTATCGACGATGCTGTACTTCTGTAACAGAATTGGAAGAGTGGCGATGAGGGGCGAGCAACCGTCATGTGTATGAGAGAGAGAGAGGGAGACGAAACTCTAAGTTCTAACCAACAACGGCGGTGAGGGAGGATCGGGGGTGAGAGAGGATCGGCGCCATCGTTGTGTGAAAGAGATAAAGAGGAAGGCGAAACCATAGAGATAGAGAGAGAGAGGGAGAGAGAGAGAGAGAGAGAGAGAGAGCGCGCACCTGGATGGGACACTTCCCCATATTCCAACCATTCATGAAGAACACCTCAATGTTGGCCAAGGACTCCAAGTTGATCAAACCCAAGATTTGTATCATTTCTGTTTCAACCATTCCTAAGGGTAGCAACTTGAATACGCCCTGAATCTCAACTAGCCTACGACATTCAGTATGTTCGAGTAATTGTGAGCTAAACATATTTTCTCCAGTGATGTGGAATGCCCCACTAACAATAACTCCACACTTGGTAGGCCTAGAAAAGATTTGAGCCTTGTACATGAATTTAAATGAAGTGTCTGAAGCCTAGTCAGACCTCTGATCCAATCTGGTAGACTAGAAATTGGATTTTTGCTCAGATTCAAGTTTTGTAACAAGAGCAGGTTACTAAAATCCCTTGAAAAATCATCATCCGATAAATTGCAATCCATAAGACTTAAGCTTACTAAAAACCTAGGTAAAAAAACCCTTGAAATTTTTGGAGTTCTTGGTTTTGATACCAAAGGCCAGACTAGTGCATGCCATGGTTTGACCTCACCAGTTGTAGAGAGTAGTTGATTTAAAGGAGTTCCATCTACATGAAGTGCTTTTAGAGATTCCATCTCCCCTATATTCGGTGGCAACGTGTCAAGTTTTGAGCAACTAGAAACAATAAGCTTTTCAAGAGATTTTAGCATTGCAATGTTTCTTGGAAGTGTCCTTAGTTTTTTGCAATCTTTTACATTCAAGAGAACAAGGGCTCTCTAGGTTGCCAATGGATTCATGAATTCTAAAAAGACTCGTACAATCTTTAAGAATTAACCTCTCCAGATTGGGGAGTTGTGAGAAATCAGGAGTTTTGACAAGGCCATGGGAATGGCTGAGATTAAGGAATTTTAATAGGCCAAGAAACTGCAAAAGGAAGACAAAAAGGTGTTACCATCATTTAATCACTGAAAACCCTAAACAAAAGGAAAAATAAAAATAATAATAAAAAAAGGAAAAATATCATACCTTGGTTCTCTTCCAAACTCGTTCCAAGCTGCTGTAACGCATGTCAAGCACAACTAAACTCTCTAGAGCAAAATCTTTGGGAATGAATTTTGAACGGAATCCTTGCCAACACAACCATCTTAATCCTTTAGGAAGTTCCCTATAGCTTCCATTGAGTTGTACATAATTAAGATGGAGGAGTCTTAATTTGTGCATTCTTGCCAGTGCATTAGTTTTGAAATATGCCTTATTTGCATTTTTTAGCTCAGTGGCCGCTGGATGACAGGAGAGGAAGCCAAAGTGATGCTGATTCAGTGAAAAAACCTCTTTGCAGCGATGTTGATTTGAAATATTGGCACTAAGGACTGATTTTGAAGACGTAACTTCTCTTAACATATGCATGTCTAGGACAAGGCCTTTTATTGTTTCAGTGCCCTGTTGAGGTAAGAAAGAATATTATACCATAGATAAGTAGCAAGCACATACATACATAAGTAGCATCTTACTTACAGTTTTTTCTCTCAATACATTGAATGAATCCTTATGATGCCATAATCTGCTACGTTTCCCAGGCTCTTTAGGTGATTCCTGGCAAATAATTTCTCTGCCCATGTCTTGAAGCAATTGATGCATCATCATCTTGTTATTTTTATCAATTGTAATGAGACATCTATCAATGAGATTTTGAATCCCAACTGTTGTGCAGAAATCACATTCATCTAGTATTCTAACTGAGAAATCCTTGTCCTTTTCGAAAAAGAAGCAAGCAATATACAAGAATAAATTTTTATCGTGATCATCTTGTAACGAGTCATAGCTTATTTTAAGTTTTTTCACAATTTGACTTTTAGGGATCAATTCCAACTTTCGTAATGTACTTTCCCGTACATCTATACTTCTCCCAGAAAGCGATGAACCCAAAACTTGAAGAGCTAGTGGAAGTCCTCCACAATATTGCACTATCCTTTTTTGAGTGCTCCACGAAACCTTCAATAGGATGGTTTTGTCCAAAAGCATGCCAACTGAAGGGCTCAAATGATTCAGATTCATCCAATTTTTCAACCTTTTGCACCTCATCAGCTTTGTAAGCCTGTAACAACCCCTCGAGTCTAATCGTTATGATGATTTTACTTCCACGATGAAAGCAATCACAAATTCCAATTATTGCATCTAATTGGTCAGTATGATCTACATCATTAAGAACAATAAGAAGTCTTTTAGAGGACAGGGTGTCCTTGATCTTAATAATTCCTTTATCAACACTATGTATGTCCTCTTTTTTCCTTTTGAAAATGTCTAAAATAAGTTGCCTTTGTAAACGAACTAAACCATTGGGTTGTTCTAAAACTTCTCTGATATTTGCAAGAAAGCTGCTACTTTCAAATCTTTTGTAGTTTAAATTGTACACAAATTTGGCAATGGTTGTCTTCCCTATTCTCCCATCCCACAAATTACAAGTACACCACCATCTGTTGACTCATCTTGTAATCACAAGTTAATGCTCGTGACTCAAGAATCCATTCCAATCAGGAAAGGTGCATCACTCAAGATCTTGCGGTTTAGCTTATCTTCAATCACTTTAACAATTTTCTGGATAAACTTTGACTTGTGCCTAAAATAGCAATGAAAATGGTAAATAGATCACAATAAGCATGCCATGACTAGAAGTTACTTAAACAGCTGTTTTGCAATTTTTTTGTTTTTTTTCACTACAAGACAAATGTTTTACAAAACCAAAAAAACAAATCCAAACAAAGTATCACATCAAACCTCATAATCATTTCACTTTTTCTCTCACAAATATCACATTCAACCACAAAAAAATCCAACTATTTTTCCAAACACAATTTTTTTTTTCTCCAATAATATCTTACAACTTAAAAAACCTACAAAAAAACCCACTTCTCAAACACCCACTATGTATCTTCTCTTTTTTCCTCTTTAAAATGTCTGAAAGAAGTTGCCTTTGTAAACGAACTAATCCATTGGGTTGTTCTGAAACTTCTCTGATATTTGTAAGAAAGCTGCTACCTTCAAATCTTTCGTAGTTTAAATTGTACACAAATTTGGCAATGATTGTCTTCTTTATTCCCCCCATCCCACAAATCACAAGTACACCAACATCTGTTGACTCATCTTGTAACCACAAGTTAATGCTCGTGACTCGAGAATCCATTCTAATCAGGAAAGGTGCATCACTCAAGATCTTGCGGTTTAGCTTATCTTCAATCACTTTAACAATTTTCTGGATAAACTTTGACTCGTGCCTAAAAATAGCAATGAAAATGGTAAATAGATCACAATAAGCATGCCATGACTAGAAGTTACTTAAACAGCTGTTTTGCAAATTAATAAGTGCAGTTCATTGTTCATACGACGGATGAATATAAAATTGAAAACACTACTGGGATAAACTATGCTTATATATCCATTTGAATATGTGATTTAATGAGAAGAGCTTTCTAATTTCGCCATATATTTACCTTCTCCATTTATGCTTATGACACCATAATAAAAGTTCTCCGAAATTTCAAACTATTCACCCTTGCATCTAGAATAACATTTTATTCTTTAAGAGTAGGAAAAATGCCATTTGGAATCCATTAATGTGTTTGGTAGGGTTTTCTCAAAATTGATTCCACCTTTACATTCTAATGCTATGTTTGGTTTGAATTTTCAAATCATAATTCCAAATCAATTTCAAAATACAGTTTGAAAACATGTTTGATAAAGCAGACAATTTTTGAATTTTTGGTTTACTTGGTCGTCCGGCCAGTTGACCGGAACAACACTCTTTTTTTTCAATTGCCAATCGCCACCTGTTATTTGGAAAAAAAAATTATATATATATTTTAAATATTTTTTAAATATAGAAATTACTTTTTTAGACAAAAATTATATATATTTTTAATATTTTTTAAATATAGAAATTACTTTTTTAGACCAAAATAATAAATTATTTGTTTGAATTGAATTTTAAAAAGAGTTTGGTTATAAGCTTTGAATAGAATTTTCAATAGAGTTTTGAGTTGTGTGTTTAGTTATGAGTTATAAGTTTTTCAATTAAGTTTTGAAAACTCTTTTCAAAACTCATAACCAAACAACTTTTCTTATTTCATGTTTCTCATCAAAAATTCAAAACTCAATTCAAAACTTTATTCAAAACTCATAACTAAACAAGTTTTCTCTTTTCAAATCATAATTCCAAAACACACAAACTCAAAATATAACTCTATTCTCAAATCATAATTCTAAAACTCTACCAAACATTACCTAAAATTCCCAAATGGCCTCTGGAAATCTTCCTTGACTTTGGAAACTTTATTTTTACAAGGACTTAAAACTCCTTTCCTTTCCCTGCCTAACTGGTGCCATCCTAAAAAATAACCTGCATGCTTTTATATTTCTAGTTATTGTATTTTGATTTTTCTTTTGCGTAACAATTTACTTCAATATGCTTCCTATAGTTGTTATTTGAATTAAAAAGAGGTTGGGTTATTGCACGAGAAAAAACAAATAGCGACTCTTGATCACTTCTCAAGATACTTTCAAAAAGCCTAATATATAATTATGAATTCTAAGACTGTGTTTGGTTGGAGGATTTGATGAGGGAACTAGAAAGGGAAAGGAAAAAAGCAAGAAAAGGAGAAAGAATTGGTAGGATTCAAATTCTAAACTATGTTTGGTTGAGTTGGAAAATGGAGAAAGAAAAGAGCCTAAGTGAACCGAAAAGATAAAAGTGGGATAGCATTTTCCTCTCATTTTCTTTTCCCTGTGTGTTTTCCATTATAACCAAATAAAAAGTGGGATTGCATTTCT